CCAAGGCCTACAACTCATTAGACTAAAATTAAAACAAGGATTAGAACTTTCCCAACTTTTTATGTGGTTGGCCCTTACTAGTTTCAACATTAGCTCTCTCTGTCTTTTAGAATTTTTTGTGCAGTTGGCCATTACTAGTTTCAACATTAGCTCTCTCTGTATTTTGGTATTTTTTGTGCCGTTGGCCATTACTAGTTTTAACATTGGCTCTCTCTGTATTTTGGAATTTTTTGTGCAGTTGGCCATTACTAGTTTCAACATTAGCTCTCTCTGTATTTTGGTATTTTTTGTGCCGTTGGCCATTACTAGTTTTAACATTGGCTCTCTCTGTATTTTGGAATTTTTTGTGCCATTGGCCATTACTAGTTTCAACATTGGCTCTCTCTGTATTTTGGTATTTTTTGTGCCGTTGGCCATTACTAGTTTTAATATTGGCTCTCTCTGTATTTTGGAATTTTTTGTGCCATGGGCCATTACTAGTTTCAACATTGGCTCTCTCTGTATTTTGGTATTTTTTGTGCCATTGGCCAGTACTAGTTTTAACATTGGCTCTCTCTGTATTTTGGAATTTTTTGTGCCATTGGCCATTACTAGTTTCAACATTGGTATTTTTTGTGCCATTGGCCATTACTAGTTTCAACATTGGCTCTCTCTGTATTTTGGATTTTTTTTGTGCAGAGGTGTGCAAAAGTTAGGTTTTCCTGATACAACCTATTAAGAAGTTAATAGAGGGGTTCCACTTGCCTTACAGGAGATTAATTATTTGGGTAGCCTACATATCAGTTTAATAAAAACTTTCTACCTCAAGTTGTGTCATGTTACAGCCCTGATAGCAACATTTGGAGACATCAATGCTGCTGTAGAAAGGCTTCTGTCAAACAGTCAGCTGACACACAGCTAACATTCCGACGTTCATCCGACAAGTCTCACTGAAGAGTTTTTTATTGACTGAATTAGTTACCTTCTGACACGCTAATCCAAATTATACAATATTCATACCGGAAAAGCCTATAGTTATTTTATGAAATGTTTATCTATTAATTTTAAGGCTATATTTTGGATTTATTATACCAATTTTAACGCAGCTGTGTGTATAGGAAGGATTAGAAATCTTTTATATTTTTTTTCTGCCATACTATAAATTGCTACAGTGATCATTTTACAAATTCTTTGATAACAGGTAAAATATTGTTATTTCAACTCTTTGTCGTGTTGTTGAGTTGATTTGAATTTTTCCTGCTTGTGATGTTGTTGTTGATTATATTATTTTATTTTATGTAAGTTAACCAATTGTCAACTGTAGAGTGGTTTTAATATACTTAGTAAAAAAGTTATTCCGCAATCATGCCTTTATTTAGTTTATCAACATTCTGTGTGTAATGTTGTAGATGCTAAGCTATACTGGATTGGCGTTGTCATTTTCTCCTTAAGTCTTTGAACTTTTCTCCTGATAAGTGTTGTGTGGATTGTCAAATTGATTTCTTTTTGTCTGATCAAGGTTAACTAAAGAAATTGGTTATAATTCCATACTAAACCAAGAATATCATTTATAGTTAGTGTAAAATAAACAATAAAACAACTAAAATGTTAACTTTAATTATAAGGAATGCTATGGTAAGCATTTTTATACACCTATATGTTTGACAAGTAGGTTTAGTTGGTAATTTACCAACCAGTTGAGTTACAAGCATTTTTATTTGGTGCAAGATAGTAAACGGAGTTCATTTGCATATTTTTGACAAACAATTACCACATAATTCCTCACTCATTATTAACATCAAAAAGTTAAATTTTATTTTACAATTTCTGGAACTTTCAATGGTATTATAAGATGTTGGTGCTTTTTCAGAACATCAGTAATTCACTGACTTTGATAATCCACAAAACTCACCGTTTAAACTCAAGCATCTTTCCCTAGTGTTACAAATACATTGTAAGTTTTTGAAAAGAAAGCGTGAATGATGGGGTGTAGAATGTATCTATATTAATTAAAGGAATATTTTTCTTTTTGTGAAATATGTTTTATTGTTTTCCTCTATGTTCATGTAGTATCTTTACTGTAAGTTATGACAGAGTCTACATAGGCTAGTCTATTAGTTAGAGTCAGGGCTGGCACGATGACCACGCGGCCACATAGGGCGCGGCCAGGGACAGGGCCCCAACGCACAGGGCATTGCTGGCAGTGTTTGCAAAGCATCCATGGTGTCGTTAAAATTAGTCAAAACTTTAATTATAAGTTCTGACTAAAATTAATAGGTGCAATAATAGAAATGATGTCAAAAAATATTTGGTTGCCTTTTGGTATATATGGAATTTTCAATCAGAGATAAAATGAAATAAGATTTCTACTTAAATATTTTAATTGATGATCAACATATAGAAGAAGTAGAAACAATCAAATTCCTAGGACTTAGCATGTAAAAAACTTTCCTAAATTATTTTTATACTAAGAAGATTGTCTGTTGTATGTTCTGTAGTGAAGACGCATTACTTAACTGTATATCATTCGTTAATTATTTCCAACATTAGATATGCAATACCTATATGGGTCTCAAGTTTATCCAAAAGTAAACAAATATTTAAATTACAAAAAACAAAAGTCTGCATTAAGAATTATTTAAAAATTGAAACCACGCCAGTCATGTAAGAAAGTATTACAAAATTACCAGTTAATGACCTTTTACTCAACATATGCAGGGTGGCTGAAAAGTAACTTACACCCCCCTTAACTTTTCAACCATTTGAGATAGTATTTTAAATGTGTTTGTGACAACCTTCTTAGCTATGAGGGGCTACAGTAATCTTATATATTAAAAAAATTTGGGTTTTTCTTTTCCGAGTTCGTTTGCCTCTTCTACCCAACAGATTTTAATAATTGAGGTCTTGAATTGAAGGTATGCACGTGTAAGGGAGATGTAGCTGATGATAGCTTATTTCCAAACCAAATCTGTATTTTTAAATCTCATTTCAATTTGATTAAGTATCTTTGTATCAAATGTTAGAGTCTCACTCACACAAGCCTACACAAAACACACACACTATCTCGGCTGTGTTGCCTGATGCAGGAAACGTGATATGGACATGGATAAATTTGCGGTACCCCTCTAAGAAACATTGAGGTAGCGTCCCTTCCCCCTCCAAAAATAATGTTCAGTTGAAATGTAACTCTCCTCGGCTGAATACGTGCATTGCGCCGTATTTCGTTAGTCTTTCTCTATTTATAAACTTTTACCGCTAAAACCGCTTCTCGGACTCACTACCGCTCTTCTATCGTTCATCACGAACAATTAATAAAACTTTCTCGACGTCAAACTCTGTAAAAGGTGTTTTTTTTTTAATAAGTTATTTAGTACGTTATTGTTGCCGCCGCTAAGCAGTTCCGTCTGCCGCCGCGCGTGCCAGGAACCTGTGTTAAGTGCCAACTTTAGTGGATTACGATTACTGGATTTCCCACAAGTGTTCCCCAAAAGTGTGCACACTTCCCTCATCTCTACTCAATCTACAAGTTGGCTACCCTCTTCCCAAGACGTTGTCATCCGCCATCCACCCACGGCTTCCGCCCATGTGCCACCTCTACTCTCTAGTGTTTCTTGTTACTCTTCACCCTTGGATTATTGGTGTGTCATATATTACCCTCTTTACGCCCCAGTAGTAAACATAGGGAATAAACAGTACTGTGCATTACAATTGAAATAATTACAATGCGTACATCAATAAAAAAAAACTACTGTACTGTGCATAGAGTACAGCAGTGAGGCGTTCGGATTAGTGGACTTTCGGATTAAAGAGTTCTACTGTATATTTGTCATTTGAAAATTTTGAGCTACCCCCTACCACCGCTACCCCCAAGGGCAAAATTTTCAAAACTGACCATAATTATTGTAGCCCTTTATATCCAAACAAGTCGCTGCAAACCGATATCAAATTTCTCAAATAGTTAAAAAATTAATGGGGATGCAAGTTAATTTTCAGCTACTCATGGTTATTTTGATTTGAAACGTTTTAGGGTGCCATTTTGTTTTTAGTGGGCCGATTTTAGTTTTCTCTATGTCAATTTTTATGTTTCGTCGAGACCTGTAAAATAATACCAAACTTGACTATACTTGTCATATGAACATTTTGAGCCATCCCCTACCCCCACCAAGGGCAAAATTAACCATAATTATTGTAGCCCCTCATATCTAAGAAGGTTGCCAGTTACTTTTCAGCCACCCTGTATTTAGTATACATAACTATTAAAAAAAATTGAGAAATTCTGGAAAAATGATGAATAATGCGTGAAGAATTATAATTTGAGAACATTTTTTATAATAAAAGCACACTTTTTTATGTTGTTTGGTTGGAATACTGGTGTGCGACAAAGTAAAAAGTGTGTGGCCAAGTAAGTATTATAAACGCAGCAATTAGCAGCTTTCTGTACTATAGCCTAATCAGTGCAAGGAAGCCCACTTAGTCACCCGGCTAAGTGGGCTATAAGACTAGGAAAATAACAATTTTAATGATTTGAATCTTCAATGTAAAAAACAAGAAGACTTTTGCATTCATGCATTTTTGACATATATCATAACATCAGGTTTCTGTAGTTGCACTATAATTTAACAAACATAAATTTCATTATAACTAGCGCAAATCATATGATTTGTAAATCAAAGTAAAAAAAAATACTTACAACATAATGTGTGGATGAAAAATTATTCATACAGTAGGCTAAAATAAAAACATATGTTGACCAAAATATAAATATTTTTGGTATTGACATTTGGCTATAGTTCCTTCTTGTAAGCCTATATATTCAGATAATTTTACTGGTGTGATTTAAGAAAAGTTTCGTTAAAGTGTGTTTTCCAAATGATACATTAAAGCGCAGTAATAACATAAAATGATGTTGTCATAATTCAACCTTTTGCAGTAATACTACGGACAATATTAGATTTGTTTAAAATACAGTTTCAATTGTGAATATTGTGGAATAAATTCAAATTAACAAGCGAACAACTATTTATATCAAAAATATTTTCAGTCAATGTTTAAGGTTAAACTATGATGAAAAAACACACATCAACAAAAACTGATTTCCTTTCAAAAACCCAATCGCAAATCTCATTAAATTCTCAGAAATCAAGCCAGAAAGAATCAAACATTAGAGTATCTCCTGAAAGAGACTCAAATATCTCATCCAAAAAGTCCTGTGTGCTCTCTTCATGTTCACTAAAGGAGGACGATGGAAGCTCAGGGTCCAAAGAGTCGCTCAATTACGTAGAGTCTAGAACAGCAGTCGTTAACTCACAAGGTAAAAAATGGATAGACATTTATGGAGTGAGAATTTGTCCTGCTATAGTAAAATTCGACAACACTTTCGAGAACCAGAGTTACCAAGAGTCAGTTTCTGTGCAGAACATTTCAGAATGTCCTGTTACTGTCCGAATCCTAACTCCCAGGGCTTTGTCATTCCGAGTCACTCCGTTAGAATGGGGCCATATGCTGGCTCCCGGACTGAAGATCCAACGACATGTCCACTATAAGTGCACTAAGAGCACCATTGTACATTCCTCTCTGCCCATTTACATCAATGACAATGTCGTACAACTCCCTCTGGAGGCAAGCAAAGGACAAGCCTTTGTAGATATAATACCAACGTCAATTAAATTTGGTCGAGTCGACATCGGCTGTAAACCGATTGAGAGAAAGATCCGTATCAAGAACGTATCGTTCTGCGCTACCAAGTTTCTCGTGGATGTGGGAACCAACGAGCTGGATCTTCACATAGGACCGATGAAAGGGTGGATTCGTCCTCATAACAGTGTGACTGTCAGAGTGAAACTCCTTGCGCTGAGAGAGGGAATCCATTCATCAGAGTTGTGGATATCAACAGACTTGGGTCAGACGAGAATACCTGTTGAAGTGGAAGCTTGTCGTCGCAGCTTGTTGGTGCAACATCCAAACACCATCAGTGAGTTCACACTTGTAGACTTTCCTGCCACATTTTACGGCTGCCAGAGATACCAGACACTCGTAGTTCACAATGTGGCAGCTTCGAGTAGTGCTTTTGTAGTTCTCGCTGATTACGGGAGCGAAGGTCAGGAGCCGTTTAGAGAAGCTAGGGAAAAAGCACAATCCAAGGTGAAAATGTTTGATATAGAGCCAGTTGAGGGAAGACTCAAGCCATTTGAGGGAAGAATTTTCACTTTTTGGTTCAGCCCAAAAATGATTGAGGGAAATGAGCAGTGTGTATCAAAAGACAAAGATACAGATTTAAATGATTATCTCTGTGCTGTTAGAATCAAGAGAATTCAAGTTGATGAATCTGGCATAGACTCAGTTCCTGATAGTTATGAACACTTCTCTTTGAAGGACCGCACTACTTTCGGAAACAAACCATCGAATTACGACCTCAAATTATTGTTGGACAAAGAGACAAACGGAAGGGAACCTCCATCTCGGGTTTTCATTGAAGAGATTTCTGTTTTGTTCTATGTGTATGGGGAAGCAGAAATACCCTCCCTCAGTATCATACCTGATGCTCTTTACTTTCCAGATACTCTTGTTGGAGCTACTGTTGTCAAAGTAGTCCAACTGACCAACAAAACAAACCAGTTGCTGGCTTTTCAATATAGTAAAATTCCTTTTTTTGAAGTCATTCCCGATTTTAAAAAACTTAGCCCTAAGACTTCTTATGATGTTACCGTAAAACTATGTGCTAGAAATATTGGCTTTCTACCAAAAATTCTTTCCTTCAATATACTTGCTGAAAAGAACGCTACTGACAAGCAAGACTTTCACGTAGTTAATCATATAAATGTGAGAATATTTGGTAATGTGAAATCACAAAATATCCTTCCAAAACCGACATTCAACCTGGGTATTACTCCAATGATAACGAATGAGGTTGGGTTTCTTACTGATGGGGTGACTTTTGCAAGCAGAATTAAAAAGCCTCGATGTGCCTTGACAATGAAGGCCAAGTCTGGCCGTCCGTGGCATCAGACAGATGCAACAATAGCATTCCCTAATGATAGGCCACGCTCACTGCGACCAAGGCCAACAGATACAAAAGCGTTGACCATATATAAAGGGTTGCCTAGGTATATACCACCTGTAGACGAATCTGAGACACTCACTTACGAGAAAATGGTTGGGAAAAAAGCTCACAATGCTTGGGTTTTGAACTACATTAGAGGCACAGCAGCGTCATTTATTTCAAAAGATAACTGTTGCCACAAAAAGTTTTCTAAAGGTCCGTCGGATCCTCCTATTGTGTTATTTCCAAATAAAGAAGTAAAACAGCCCAGCGAAGTATTTGTCCCAATGACGTTTGTGCAGCTTTACCGTATCAGAGTCTACCCAGAAGTTGTGTCTTTTGGAAGTGTTACAGTGTGTAAAAGCTGTTCTCAGTTGCTGACCATAGTTAACGATAATGATTTCAAAATAAGTGCCAGGATGGTACCATTGACGTCAGGGATAAATGTCCAAACTTTGGATAATTTCATAGTTGCAGGAAAATCTGAAGGTAAAATAATGCTTACATTTCAAAGAGAATCGTTGGGCAGATACAGTGGCACGGTGAGCTGTGTAATAAACGGTTTTCACTCATTCGACATCGCTGTAGTGGCAGAAGTTGTACATCGTAGTCTGACTGTCACACCCAAGTATGTTCAAGTCAAGATTCCAGATGCTCCTTTTGCAGATTTGTGTGTCCCTGTATCTATTAACAATCCACTCAATATTCCTGTTGCATTTTCTTGGGCTATTCCAGAAGAGTCGCCAATCAAAATTGAACCTGTTTTTGGTGTAATACCTAAATTAGAAGCAGTATGGTGTGGAGTGTTTTTTGAACCTAGTTGTCCAAATTACAAACTACATCCGCTAAACTTAGTGGTCGATGGCACCGTATGTCTCCAACTCAAAACTGGCGTCACCTTACCCAAAACAAATGTTTACTTTTTAGAGCCCATTTTAAATCTAGGTAACATTCCGATAAACTTGAAAACTGTTCGAGAATTTATGATCTTCAACCCAGATTTTTCTGATGCAATGTTTGTGGTGCTCAGCCAAAAACCTGTAAATGGTGTTAAGGTTACTGTTATACCTAGTGTAGGCACAATAAAAGCTAAAAGTTGTCATTCTCTATTTCTACATATAACTGTTCAATTAGAAATGCCCCTGAATTTTATCGTGTTCATGACCCTGCAAAGCTCAACCACTATAGATATGAAAGTTAACGGTTATGTTGTATATCCAGAAGTTGAAGTGACTCCAAAATTCATCAATTTACACCGTGTGCCATGCAATTCTGTTGTCCGCACTGTACTAATAGCAGAAAATAAAAGTAAAACCACAGCTCAAGTGGGGTTTAAGATGGATGAATATGCACAGTTTAAAGTATCTTTATCAAAGAGGTATCATGATCCAGGGTTTTCAAGTTATAGTTTCACCCTAGATCCTGGGGCACTTCAGAAGTTCTATTTGCACTTTGTTCCTAAAGATCTGGCATCATATGAGTTTTACCTCCCTATTACCATCAACAATATGCCTTTAGCGCACAACATCAGCAGACAGGAGACAGAAGTTGGGGGGAAATCTAATAAAGGTGGAGGAAAGAAGAATACTTTAGATCAGGGTAAAAATTTAACTACATCTCACCAGGTTTTGGTCAATGTAGTTGTTCTGAAACCATCTTTGACCTTTTCTGACTTGGAATTGGACTTTTCTTCAGTTCCAGAGGTCAAAAGTTTTACAATTGAAAACACCAGTAATAAATCAATAGGAGTGTTCGCTCGTCCAGAGAACAATCAAGGCCTTTTTGATATATGTGTTGATGGAAAAGATGTAGGCAAGGATTCATCCGAGTTGGTTTTGGATCCTGGAAGTTGTATAACCTATGTAGTGACGTTTACTGGGATATCACCTGGTTTGTTTGTTAGTGATGTGGAAATTTTAACAACTTTTGAGGAATACTCCTGTGTATACAACACAGTTAGACTGACAGCTGAAATTCTTTGGCCTTGTACTATCACATCATCAGTTAAAGAGGTTTATTTTCAACCAGTGCCATTAAATGTTGAAATCAGAACCACACTGCAACTGAAAATCACGAAGAACCAAGACACCAAGGATGTAGCAATAGGTTTTGAAATAACAGATCCATACAAAGATTTGTTTAGGGTCGATTTTCCTAAAGGAAACACAGTGGTTGGTAATGTCGATTGTATCATGCCGATTTCAATAACGTTCAAAAGTAAGTTTCCTGTAGCACTAAGAAAGAAGATTACATTTAAAGATGGCAAACAGTCACAATGTGTTATCAACATGATCGCAACCTCTGATAACTGCTTACTCACAACGTATGGTTATTTAAAATCCCACGATTTGCACCAGCCTAAAGTGAGTAGGCCAGAGAAGGCCTCATGTACCCACAAGACTGTTGTAGAAAATGAGAGAGTTATACTTCCTAAACAGAAACTCATGCGCCAAACTATGGTCTCTAAAGTAGACAGCTCTTCAGAGGGTTCAGGACTATCCACTGTGTCACTTAAAACGCTGTGTTCACTAGTTCAATCCAATATAGTCAAGGAGTCTGTCATCAAACGTCAAAGTTTAAAAGATTCTGTGCTTGTGGGAAAAGAACAAAGACTCGTATCAAACTCTGATATAGAACTGTCACTTCAGCTTAGTGAAAAGGAAGAAAGTGAGCCATCTGTAGATAAACTGTTGACAGCAAAAAAGATCACACAACAAAACGAAGAAATAGTTTTTCCGATGTTTCCACTACGAAGGGCAGTGAATGAACATGTGATTTTCATGAACAAAACTTTAAATGCAGTTCAACAATGGGCGTATGAACAAGTTTTTTGTTGCTCATACAATCCAATATTTGGAAATAATTCATTTTCATCTTTCTCAGTTGTTGACAAGGGGGACTACAGCCGTTCATCTCGGATGGCATTGAAAAATGTATTTGATGCTCTTGAAAGGATATGTGGAAGACGGATTAGGAAATATTTTACACCGATTGATAAAATACCTGAAGAGAATACAGCAAAAGCAATATTCACCCACAACTTGTATCGACAGCTGGTGCATTTTATGACAGTTCAAGGAGCCTTGATGGCTCATGTTGAGCCTAAATATCTCATGGTGTACGATGAATATTGTTTCTACCAAAGGTCCAAGGTAACATCTGTCTCAGACCATAAACCTTTAAGTATTGAGAGCAAATGCGACTATGAGATTCATTCAGAACTGATGAGTGCTGATAATTTCTTGAGCATCTCGGTGCAATGTTGGTTGGATCTGTTCCTCCAAATGTTCAAGACATTAATTCTCGCACCAGCAGTCGGAGTCTCTTATTCACATCGTGATAATTTAAGACAAACCGCTAGACAACATAGTAATGATGAGGCTGATAACTTTGGACGAGCAGAAGAGGTACTTCTTATCTGGCTGACCCATCATTACAACTCACAGCGTACACTGGTATGGCCAAACAAGTCACCGCCACCTCGAACTGTTACTAACTTTGACACAGATCTTGAGGATGGATTGGTTCTCACAACCATCACAGCAGCCTATTGTCCCTACCTCACTGAGCTCTATTTCCACAACATGTGTATTCATCCCTCTACCACTAGTCAGGCTTATCATAACACAACATGTCTGTGCATGGCCTGGGGTCGTATTAGGTTGGGGTTCTCAATAACACCTAGAGATTTTGTACATTCAAACTCTATAAAGATGTTATTATTGGTAACCTATTTGTACAAAATTCTGCCTTCATACAAACCAGAAGCTACGATTAACTTCAGGGGTATCCTGAATGCCGGGGAATCTCACATTGTAACCTTAGAAAATGACGAAGAGGCAAGCGTTACTTATCATGTGGAAATTGTCCAACGGTCTTCCAACTTCATCCTTGACAATTGTGAAGACTCTTTTGTCTTGAAGCGGAAGTCCAAGCAAACTATAACTGTGAATTATGTAGCTCGTAATACAATCAAAGCTGAGGCTATCCTTCTGCTGTGTGGGGCTTGTATGCCACCCAAGTTCGGTAGAAATTACGTGTTCAAACTGGAAGGTTGCCCTGTTAAGCTCCCAGTGTCATCAGCATTTACCATAGTTTCTCCACTAAACACTCCGATAGATACAAAGATAACTGTAGAGTCTCCTCATTTGCTCGACTTCAAAGCTGAATTCTACTCGTACGATCTATGGGTCACTTATTCAGAACCCCAACCAGGAAACATAAATGCTTTGAGTTGGGCAAAAGAAAGAAAACATAAAATTCCTCGCCGCTTGTACTTTTCTGACAACTCACTGATCGTTTCATCAGCCAAGTCAAAGATTGGAAGCGGTAAACTGGCCTTCAAAGTTTGTTGTTTCTCAAACATTGTGCGTGATTACTGGCTGATATTTAGAAACGCAGATATTGGTGACTTTATTGTTAAATTGCAATCAGTTCCTTGTAAGCCCGAGCCAACGTTGACTCTGCAAGTTGTAATGAAGCAAGAGACAAAATGCAATTGTACTTGTGAGAGAGCTCTCGTATGCAATAGAACCACTACAGTCCATGTTCCTTGTTGCAACTTTGAACAGTGGTCAGCTGTCAAAGTCATGTTTGACCTGACTATATCGCCTGAGGAGAAAGAGTTCTGGGACACTTACATAGAATCCAACATCGGTTTTCGATTACTTCAATGGATCTTGGAAGAAAAAGAAGAAAAATTCAATGACGAACTTGAAAAGCTTTTCCAAAAAAGTAAGACCTACAAAATAGTTTGCCCATCTCAACATGTGACTTGTGCACCTTCAGTTTACATACCTGATGTGAAGTCTAAGTCATCCCTGCCTTTAGAGTTACATCTGGATGAAAAAACTTCCAGCCATTCCACCTTGGTAAATTTGACTTCAAATGATGGATCTGAAATTAGATCTTACAATCTACAAATTATCATCAATAAAATGTGACAAAATGTTGAAATAGTTATTTTATGTTTATAAATTAACCAACTGCTACTACAGAAATACTATCAATATTCAATATTTCAGCAAGTCATCGATATATATCCAGTTTTCTAAACAATTTGTGTATACGTTTTGTACGTAAATATTCGAATTAAGATGTAGCTTATTGACTGAATTATATTTACAACAAGATGTTTAATACATTATGAGTAATAGCTATTTACATTACAAGTGTAGTAAGAGCGTTTTTACTTCAGGCAGGTGAATGTTGTGCAACGAGCGGAAGCGAGTTGCATAATTCACCTAAGTGATGTAAACACGCTCTTGCGTGTAACGTACAAGATTTTACCTGACTCGACAATATACATGGGTTTACGTACAATATTTTTCATTATCCATTTCACTCATCTTCTATCAGTAACGTTCTTTTACTAACAAAAGCTAGGTTAGGTAGGAAAATACTTTAAAGCATTAACAATAACATTCAAGCGCACAGCTGATTTCTAGCGTTGAACGTCGTTGGCTCCATAGAGTTATATTTTTTAAGTTAAGCACTCAATGTTATTTAAATGGGTTTCTTTACATCACCGAGTGAGTTTTAAGTAGTAAGTAGGTTTAAGAAGTATTAAGCAATATATGATACCATTCTTATGGATGGGATTGCTATTTTTTTTTTTTTTTTTTTTTTTTTTTGTATCTACGCCAGTGGCATTTTTCTAATGAAGTCAAACACTTTTAGGGAAAGCGGTCCAAACCCATCAAAGATTAGTGGATGTGCCGGGGATTGAACCCGTCCCTCCCGCACCGAAGTCCGAGACGCTAACCACTAGGCTAGCAACACAACCTATTACTGATTTATAATTATTACTAGCTGTACCCGCGGGCTTTGCCCCGTTTAACTTCTTAATTTTCAAGATGAGCTCGTTTGCATGGCTCAATCACGTCCTGGTTGAAGTTTGTTCGCTTTGCTCACTCACCTTTAGGTTGGAGCTCGTTTGCTGCGCTCACTTGCCTTCTGGTTTCGTTCGCTACGCTAACTCGCCTCCAGGTTGAAGTTCGTTCGCTACGCTCATTCACCTTTTGGTTGCAAATTAGCTGTTGTCATAAATAAAAAAAAAAAACAATAGTGCTGCACCCTGTTGGTAATCCTTGTAACTTTAATTCTATTGAACATCATAGAACAGAACCAACTTGTTTCATTGAAACAGCTGTTAAGATTCATCAATTCCTTTTAAATATGAAAAATCATAAGGTTAATATGGGAAACTCCAGAGCCACTGGGGTGGAGCCCGAATGCCCGATCAGAATAAAAACTACTTAGTTTTTCTATTTAATGCCCAAAGTATCGGTGTACCGAATTTCAGCCTCCTAGGAAAATGGGAAGTGGGAGAATTAGTGATGAGTGAGTGAGTGAGTGTGTCAGTGAGGGCTTTGCCTTTTATATATTTAGATATTTTACCATTTTTTAGATTGTTAAATTTGATTTAGAGGTTTTGGATTTGTTTGTGTGCTCCATGTAGCACTTAACTTTGATGCCCACTTACCCTATGTTGTATATGATTAGTGTGAATCCCAATGAAAATTTCCTTTCACTATATGATACTATTTAAATAAAATTTCAATACCTCTATACTTTTTTTGAACGTACTCAAATTCCCCTAAAGAGAGGAAATGCCTAGAGCAATGGAAAACATCAGTCCACCTATGTTAGACACCATTCACAAAACTTTGGTGGTTTAAGGGGAAGGTTTCCTGGTGGTCCACCACTTTTTTAGCTTAATGTAATTATGTATAGAGAGAGGTGGAATGGATGAAATTGCTTCCCTCAAACCTCCTAAATTTTGTGAACAGAGTATAATTACCCAAAATTCACTCAGCCTACACATTATCTGAAGCGGTGGTATTGTGCATCAAATTTATGGTGTTAATAAAAAGGCCGGAAAGTAAATAAAAGAAACGTCTCATAACACTTAAAACATATATTTACACTTATACTGTTACTCACAAGACGGTAAATATACAAAAAAGATGGTAAGTGGTGATCGATTTCGATTGGACACTCCAATCATCATCAGACCCAATAGGCGAGTGACAAGAATCTTAATGGCGTCCCTACTTATACCCTATTGGCTACCGGAAGCACCGGCCAGTACATTTTTATAAGTACAACTGGAATCAAAATGTATTTGTTCATCAATCAACTTATTTCTATTTTGACATTTTTCCTTACAATTCTTCCCAAACATTCATTACATATCCTTTAGTGAGTGGCCATTTTGTAACAAGTGTTGTGCGACATTTGATCTTTCCGGTTTGTTGTTCCTCCACGCAGATATGTGGTTTTTGAAGCGGTTGACGAAGTTCACAATTTTTGAGATTATACGGACTAATCGCATGGAATTTACTACACGAAGTCGTCAGTGAAGAGGTTGGAGACGCCATGGACCGGAAATATTTACGGATAAACGACAAATTAGACAAACTCGTAGAGAAGAATACACCCAATGAAGACTTGGATAGGACCAGTACAGAACACAAATTCCAGAAGAGAGTCATCAACCTTACAGACATTCAATTCAGTGAAGTAGAAACGAAAATACTGAACTACGGAATGAAGTACAATTTCCCAATGAAGAAGAAGGACGAAAACGAACTACTAGCTACTGAAGTTGAAGCAAATGTAAAATCGCTCAGAGACATAGACCATTATGCCGTTCGGGAGGAAGTGACAGCCAACGATTTCACCAGCCAAGGACCCATAGATCCCAGCAGAAATAAAGAACTTAAAACGTGCAACAAAATAAAGAAGAAACTGGAAGAGAATAGCTCAATCATTGTGAAAGCAGACAAAAGCAATGCGATAGTAGTGCTCGGAAAAAGAAGAATATGTAAAGAAGACGGAAGATTTCATCAATGAAAACAACTTCAAAGAGCTGAAAAAGGATCCAACGCAGAGGTACCAAAATGAGCTGTCCGACGTCGTGAAGAGATGCACCAGAGTGATTCCCGAAGAATGCCGACAGAAGATGAACATCCTAAATTCTAAAGCGCCCGTGATGAAAGGGATCCCAAAAATACACAAGAAGAATGTACCTATCAGACCCTTAGTTAACTTTAAATGTGCTCCTACCTACAATGTTTCAAAATTGTTAGCAAGTAAGCTCAGCAATGATTTAGAATTAGAATATGTATACAATGTAAAGAATAGTTATGAATTTGTTGAACGTGTAAAGAACATAGATATAGATTTGAATTGTAGGCTAGTCTCATTTGATATCGCAAATCTGTACACCAACATACCTGTATCTGAAACTGTAGATCTTGTTAAATGTAGGCTTTTACAGAATAGTTTAGACGATGAATATGTCAATCAGATTGTAAAATTGCTTGTGACTGTTTTGAAACAAAATTATTTTAGATTTAACAATAGATTTTACGAACAAACAGATGGTTTAGCTATGGGAAGTCCACTTTTGGCAATTTTGTCAGAAATATTTTTACAGCATCAGGAAAAAGAAATGTTAAAGAATTTAAGAAAGAATCATGATGTAAAACTGTATGTTAGATATGTAGACGACATTCTCGTTATCTTCAGACAAGCCCAGGAGCAAGAGCACGAAACGATGATGCAGACACTAAACAGCCACCACTCGAACCTCACCTTTACCAACGAATTTGAAGAAAACAAAAAGATCAACTTTCTGGACCTCAAATTAGAGAGAAAAGACAGCAAGATAGAATTTGACATCTACAGGAAACCTACGCAAACGGACACTACAATCAACAGCAAGTCTATCCATCCGAGAATCCACAAGACCGCAGCCTTTAGATCTATGATATACCGAGCCTATAAGATCCCACTTAGCCAAGCCAATAGGAAGAAAGAACTAGACACCATTAAGATCGCTCAAGTTAATGGATTTCGAACCAAGACGATAGAGGACATCGCAAGGAAGACGAGGAGGAAAATCGATAGGCAGAATACACTACACAGCAGAACAACATTAGAAGAAATAAAAGAGGAAAACACCAGATATATCACATTTGGCTACACGGGGACTACAACACAAAGGACTGCTAACAAATTCAAGAAATACGGAGTTTCAATAGCCTACAGGACTCAGAACACCATGAGTAAAATACTGCATCCGAAAATAGAAGATTTCAATAAATTCGACGCTTCGGGCATCTATAAAATCAATTGTAACGATTGTGATAGCTTCTACATTGGACAGACTGTGAACTTCGTTAACCGCTTCAAAAACCACATATCTGCGTGGAGGAACAACAAACCGGAAAGATCAAATGTCGCACAACACTTGTTACAAAATGGCCACTCACTAGGAAAAATGGAGGATAGTCTAGATACTTTAAAGAATTGTAAGAAAGGATATGTAATGAATGCTTGGGAATAATTGTATATTTATAAGGAAAATGTCAAAATAGAAATAAGTTGATTAATGAACAAATACATTTTGATTCCAGTTTTGTAGTAAAAAACATGTGTCTTCAATTCTTTATTATTGTTTTGTTGTGTTTGTAAACAAGTCCATTATAATTCAATGTAGTATTGTTCAAGTTATTAAAAACCTTTCTAAAGGTAATAAAAGTTCTTTTAATTCATTCTTACTCTCATTACAATTTTAATTGAAATTTTAATAACTTGATATTGTGAAATGGATACGATCCTAAAGCCAGACAAGTTTAGTGTAGATCCAAGCTCATCATCTGCAAGTAAGGAATGGACACATTGGCACAAAACATTTCAGAATTTTGTTACCAGCATCACACCACAACCATCCGACTCCGATAAACTCAAAATACTTATAAACTTTATTACTCCAGAAATCAACGAGTACATAAGTGAAAGCGGTACGTATAACGATGCTATATCTGTGCTAAGAAGTATCTATGTAAAACCTGTAAATGAAGTATATTCCAGACATAAACTATCTGCACGTCAGCAGCAACCTGAGGAGACTATTGACCAATATCTCCAGGCTTTAAAATTACTAA